CCCCCCCTTCTCCCCCCTCTGTCCCTCCTAAACAGGTTATACCCCTCTATATTAGTAGCCCAGTCATGCGTGCTGTCCAGCCAGGTTTCCGCTATACCAACTATGTCGAAGTCCTCTTCAATTAGCCTAATTTCAAGCTCCTCTATTTTATTTGCCAGACTTCTAGCGTTGGTGTACATACATTTAATTCCTCTCTTTTTGTGGGACAAAAGTTTACTACCTTGTTGTTCCCCACTATTTTTATTGTTATTATTCTGCCTTGATTTCGGTCGTCCGTTGGTAGTTATACTTACATGTGCCAACGGATTTCCTATATTGACTGGAGTGAGCCCACTATTATGAACTCCTTTTTTACTACTTTCTGTGTTATTTTTACCTATGATTAAATTATCTACGTTTAGTTTAAGTGATTTTATTTTTATACCCTCCCCCCCACTTCCTAGTTTAAAAGCTCCTCCAGCTCCTCACATATGATTACATGCGGTGGGCAGGCGTTTACATGCAACAGCTGTCACCCGATCATTAATTTGAATCGGTGACAGTTGCCGCCTGTAACATGTGCATACATTAAAACTGGTACCGTATATAGTAGCGGCTCCCATGGGACTAAAATATTTGTCCAGTGGCCCCCGACTAAATTGAGTTTGAGACCCCTGGCATAAAGGCAAAGAACACATCTCCCAACTTGAAGTGTTCCCTGTCATTTAGCAGTAATTACTTGATAAATGAATGTTGCAAAAATGCTGCTTTGTTAAAATCTATCCTTTTGACCCCCAGGCTCAAAGACATTGTAGTTGTTAATTGATCAGTTGATTAGCTCTTTGTAGACAAATGTTTCCGTTGTGACATATTGCCAGTTACAGAATAATTTCAAGTAGGACTGCAACCAACTAATGGATTGTGAGAATAGTTGTCAACTATTCTCATGATTAGTTGGTTGGATCACCTAGATCTCTCCATGCTGGGAGGATGGCACAGCAAGCAGTGGGCGGGTGCATTAGCCAGCCTGTAATTTTGAAATGGCCCACTACCTGCTGTATTTACATCCAGCTGCCGCCTGCAGAATCTTGCCACTGGCAGCTGTCATTCCCTGCCTGAAGCTATTCAAGCCCCGTGTGCTTACAATTATTAAAAAGAAAATTATGAAAGGTGGGAAAAAAGTCATTTTCGGTTTTGGCCTGACTAATTCTGCTGCGGGAGGTGCATTGCAGTGCCATTCATTTCAATGGCACCCCACAGTGTGATTTCTCGCACGGTACCACAATGCCGTCATTCCAGTGCAGTGCAAAAAATTGTGCATGCAGTTTTATTCTGAAGTAAACTTTGTAACACTATTTTAAATTAAGGATAGTATTTAATTTTTTTTTTCTTTTTTTTAATTATTTTTTTTCAATCGGAAAAAATAATCGACCAACTAATCAATTATGAAAATAATCATTAGTTGCAGCCCTTATCTCAAGCTACTGAGTGAAATCTCTCTATGTAGTTTATGCCCTACTGTCAATGGGTGGAGTGAATGGACGATTACATTGTCTGAGATTTTTTTAGCCATAATAAATATAAATAGTCAATCTTGCCACTGGAATTATTTAGAAATGCTGTCACCTCGCCCATGCAAGGTGACAGTGTCTCTGGAAAGGGCATCCCCGACTGCCTTTATACTCTTTTACATCTGACCTCTCCTAGCTCGTTCTCTGCAGCTAGCTCGGCAAACAGGGACCTCACTCCACCAGTCATGCAACAGTGCTTGGCCACGGCATTGTTACAGGTGAGCAGACCATATGTTCCTCCATACCTGAAATTGTTGAGTAATGCCAATGGCTGTGGAGGAACTGCAAAGGAGCATGGGTAAGGAGTATATGTGGGCCCTTCCCAGAGCCACTGTCAACTTTCTCTGCATGTTCAAGCTGATGTCTCTGACTCTACAACCTGGTCATGTCTTAATTTGGTACTGAAAAATGTAAATGCTTATTTTAGCAGGCTTTGACTCCCGGGGAGGTAGTGGAAGGCGAGCATTTGGCAGCGGGTACCGTCGAGATGATGATTTCAGAGGTGGTGGTGGAGGAGCAGGAGATCGATATGGTGATAGGTATGATGATCGGCGTGATGACCGGCGTGAAGATCGGCGAGATGATAGGTCGGACAAGTGGAATGGTTCTTCCAGAAACGAAGAAGAAAGGGGTATGTGTAAAACACATTTGAACATTGTTGCAGATTCAATGAAATTGAATGGTTTATATCCTGTTTGGGCAATATGAATTACATGTTCCAACTTATTTACATTTTCTGAATACAGGTCCTGTGCAGAGGCCAAGGCTGAATCTCAAACCTCGTACAGCACCCAAAGAGGAAGTTACCGGTGGTGCTCCAGCACCCTCCACTCGAGCTGCATCAATATTTGGGGGTGCCAAGCCTGTGGACACAGCTGCCCGAGAACGGGAGGTAGAAGAAAGATTGCAGAAAGAACAGGAAAAAATGCAGCGTCATTTGGAGGATGACCGACCTCGACAACTAGACCGGAAGCCACGGGAAAGGTAAGATTCGTTTGAATTATTCGATATGCCCTGCTTTTGTCACTTAAGTTTCATCCCTCTAAGTAACCATTTCTATCCAGCCTGGTTAAAGTGACACTAAACTCAGACATTAAATCTTAAAAATGCATTCATGTACCCAAACTTTTACAATACAGCACCTTATTTGTGTATCACTCAGCTGTAGATCTTGAAATCATCTCTGAATTGGTGCTGACACTGTCCTCCCTTCTGGAGGGTGGTTACTTTTACTCCCCATGGTTGCTGTGTGTGTTGTAAAGTAGCCACCGCTCCAAGCTCTCTCACGTTATGGACTTCAACCTCAATACAAATTGGCGGGAAATTTTAGTGGAGGGAAACCGTGTGACTCGCCTGGCACAACTGGGGTGTCGGTAGACAATAATGGCACCACCAGCGCGATCAGCTGTGGTGGGTGACTCAATGACCGCCCTGCAATCTGCACAGTTTTGTGCACGATTGCTGCACGGTCACGGATCGCCCAGATGTGAACCTAGCCTAAACGTGAGATTTTAGTCAATCACGTGAGCAAGCTTGGAGTGATGGCTACTTTACCACACGCAGCGACCATGGAGAACAAAAGTAGCCACCCTCCAGAAGGAAGGACAGCTCTTGATTTTAGCGTCACTAAGTAGCAACCTGAATGAAGTGCAGATACTCCCGCAGGTGCCTGCCCATTCATTACAACACATTCCAGAGGGATTCAAGTCTGTCACTAAAATCAGAGTGCCAATAAGAGTTCCCTGTAAAGCAGTTAATAAAATACTTATCTCTACCTCTGCTGGCACTGTTGCATGCTACTGTAATGTCCTGAAATCACTCTCTTAAAGGAGAACTATGAGGTTAGGGCTTTTCCCCATAGTTCTCCTTAGGGTAACCGGAGGACACAAACTAGCGCCCTCCCGTCACCCTACGCTCAGTATACCGCGATCTACAGCTCGCGGTTTACTGAGACGCTGCAGCTGAAGCGGATCCAGACATAATTGTCCACCTCCCAAGGAGAATGCATGGGTGAAGAGTAGTACAGCACTTGCCCCAACACGCTCTCTCAGTTCAGAGTCCTCTCAGAGGTAAGAGTCACTAAGTCACAGCGCTCTGATGAATTATTTATTTTACTTGGTTCCTGAAACCTTCAACTGTGTTGTTCAGCCCTCGAGGTGCTAATTTTAATACTTTAGTTCAATTAATTGCCATTTTCAGTCCCTAAGGTCTTGTTCACACCTAGGCGTATTGCATATGCGCGTCTGTTGCGCGTTTTTACCGCGATCCGAGGTAAAAAAGTAGCGCGACAAACGCTCGTTTCCGAAGGCTACTTGGCTGTATCCCAATGGAAACGCACAACAAAACGGCCCAAAGGAGTACATGTACCTTTTCAGGCGTGGGCCGTTTTTTGTAGCGCGTTAGGGACGGGCGGAAATACGCCAAGGTGGGAACAAGACCATTGAATACAATGGGATTTATATTTTTGAGCGTTTTGTAGAGCGTTCGTCGAGCGTAGAACGCACTACAAAATGTTCAGGTGTGAACGAGGGCTTAAAGGAGAACTATGGGGTTAGGACTTTTCCCCATAGTTCTCCCAAGGGTAACGGGAGGACACAAACTAGCGTCCTTCCGTTACACAAAGCTCAGTATACCGCAAGCTACAGTTGCGGTATACTGAAACGCCGGAGCGGATCGCGATAATGCTGTCTGGATCCGCCCAGCTTTGTGAGAGCTGGCTCTGCCTATCTAGAGACAGTCAGCTGTACCCTCCCCCGTCCGTTCCGCCAGTCAGCATTGGAGCGGGGAGGGGGAAATCCAGCCCCTCCCCTGTCATGGCAGAGAGCTGTGACAGGATCAAGAAGTGAGCGAACGTCGGTATGTGTTCGCTCACCTCCCGATCTACTGAGCCGACCTGTGACAGTCTCATTGTCACAGGTCTGCTAGAACTATGAGGTGAGTGAAAAGCACTCACCTCATAGTTCTCCTTTTAAGTCTCTTCAGTAACTGACACTTTGTATTCAGTGAGTATTAAACCCCTGGTCACCTGCTGCGCTCAGTAGTTGCTCCCACCCTTTATTTCTACAGGACACACACGTACTCCTCCTTTTTGTTTGGTTTACTGCAATACTCCATTCTGCATCAGGTTTTTTACATGACTAAATACCACTGTAAACTATGTGGTAAAACCTGTGTACCAACAGTGTTACTGCCTATGTTGTTAGGAAGGGAACTTCAAGTGTGGAGTCCCCAATTGTGGAGCTTGTTCCTTCATGTGGCACAAACTGAAAAGCTTTCAGACTTCTGAAGGGATTTCTCACCCCATAAAACAATCCATTAACTGTGGATCACAATACATGATCTATATAATAATTTGCCCATGTGGAAGCTCTATGTGGGCCGAGCGATCAGTCTTATTCAGGTTATTTCATGTGTTCATCAAACCTTATCCTAAGAGTTGTAATTAAACGGCCTACCGGGAGATTTACATTCAAGCGATCGGGCGTCTCTAGAGATGCCTGATCGCTTGTATTAGCAGCAGCTGTCACTGCTGTTGCCGCCGGTCCAAGGCCCGTTGTGCCTGGTGCGGCTGGTACTGGAGATCAAAGGGAGAATGGTACATGATCTCCCTCTGAGCTCCTCCAGTCCCCTAATGCAGGAAGTGATGTATATTACATCACTTCCGCATTCTACTGTCACTCTCCAGCTTCAGAAGCTGGAGAATCACCTAGGGAACCTCGGAGAAGCTGGTGAAGCAGATCACATCTTCACCAGGTTCTCTGAGGGTTCCTAGGCCTAGGTGACAGGGGTCTTGGAGATAGGGGGCGTCTTAGACCCCTATGTGATGGCAATAAAGTTGTGTATAAAACAAAAAAAAGTAAAGCATAAAAAAAATTTAGGTCCCCACCGCCTCCCACATACACCCGCAAACATGTGTCGGGTGTGCCTACGTGCGAAAACGACTATTGTGCCGCACATGTTGCATATCACCGCGAATGTCTGAGTTTGAGAAATAATTTTAGGGCATTAATTACTGATGACACTAAACTGATCAGCAGTTAAAGCGTCGCCTATGGCCAATTTTTTGTGCGGGCGCGCAATTTTAAGGCTTGAAATGTTCGGTGTCTATTTACCCAATGTGACCCCGTCTTTTATATTTTCCCAAAAATATGGGTAAGAATAAATGTTTTTTAACATACTGTAGGAAAACATATTTTTCCTCAATTTACAGTACTTTTTTTTCATTATATAGTAAAAAATAAAAAAAAACCCCAGTGGTGATTAAATACCACCAAAAGAAAGCTCTGTGTCCCCAAAACATGTTAACATAAATTGCAAGGCTATAGTCTGGTCAGGCTTACTGTTGAAATTTTGGTGAGACACCCTAAAATATTTCAAGCCCTGTATGTGAGGGTTTCTTAATGTTTGATGTTGAACTTCTGAACTGGGGCTAGCTGTGCACTGTGGTGTGCAGTTTCCTAGTATAGAGTATTATTTTTGAGTGGTTATGCAATTATACTGGCATAGAGCAAATGGTGTTCTTGGTCTCTATAATGTGGGTGAGCTGTAGTTTTTTTTTCTTAATTCTGTAGGCATCCAAGCTGGCGAAGTGAAGAAAACCAAGAACGGTCCAGGACTGGAAGTGAGTCGTCTCAAACAGGCATCAGTGGATCATCAGCAAGGAGTGAGTGAAGCACAAAATGCGTTATCTTTCTATTCTTAAATTTGTCCTTGTCATGGCTCTTGTACACAGGCACAAGTTCATGTCTAAACTGCTTTTTCTTTTCTATACAAATTAATGTGAGTGCACAAGCAGCTGGAAGTAACATTTAGGCAAATAGAAGTAACTCGGAAGCACCTAAAAGCGTAGGACTTTCTTCTTTTTTGTTAAATATGTACACAAGCCCTTACTTGACAAACTTGCCTCTTTCCCCTAACTTGGATGAAATCCTTTTATTTTGGTACATGCAGCCATTGGGTTATTCACTTTTATAGGTGGCATAGAGAATGATCCTTAGCGTATACATACATACTTGGTATCTTTTAACCTGTTTCTAAGGACCCTGTACAGTTAATTTGAGTTGGACAATGGAGAGCAATTTCAGTTTCAGAAGAAAACCTTATTTCACTTCTGAAATGAAAAGTAATGCAACCTTGACTTGGTTGCAACCTGTTATGAGAGAAACATGGAGGCTTGCCATTGCTGAGTTCTCCTTATAAAAATGCTAGCGGCCTGGTTATCATGAGACTCTGACTTCAGTGCTGTGAATAAATAACCTGGAATGAGTATGCAGATGATGCTTTCTGACTCTTTACCCACTTTCCTAATCTGCTTATTTGTTCAAGGTCAGTGATTTTGCAAGGGATAAGAGCATAATATTACCACTGGTTTGGCCTCAGCTTGAGTATGCAGTGCAGTTTTGGTCACCAACCCTCAGGAAAGATGTCCCCGAACTTAAGAGAGTTCAGAGAAGGGCTACAAAATAATTAGGGGATGGAAGGCCTGAGTTATGAAGACTGACTCCAGAAATTAAACGTATTCTCAGTAGAAAAGAGGCACTTTAGAGGGGACCTTATTGCAATTTTCAAAATCATAAATGGGGACCACAACATCCGGGATAAGCTGTTTACACCGGGAATTATATTGATGACACGAGGACACAACAAGAGCCTAGAAGAGAGGTGGTTTAATCTCATACTGCACACTGTGGTTTTTGTCGGAGTAGTAAAAATGTGGAATTTCCTTAGTAGTATTTGCTGATAGCATTGATAAATTCAAGAATGAGATGAGCTTCTTAGTTCACTAAACATACAAGTATACGGGAACTACTAGAGCCAGATTTTAGCGGGTAATTCCATTTTCCAAAATTACTTGGGAAAGTGAACGTACACTTTATTGCACATTGTGTGTTGGAGAGTGTTGCTGCTTGTCTACCACAATGTCACAGTGGAATAGGAACAGCGCATAGCATACACAATGCCCTTTCGCACGCAAGATGGGGGCTACAGGGTTGTTTTTTTGTTTTGTTTTTAAAATGTTTTTTTTTTTACTTTTGCTGGCCCGCAGGGCTAACTATACGCTGTCCCAATACTTTTGGCAATATGCCAAAAGTATTGGGACACCGCTCCAAATCATTGGATTCAGGTGTTCCAATCACCTCCATGGTCACAAGTGTATAACATTAGGCACCTAGGCATGCAGACTGCTTCTACAAACATTTGTGAAAGAATGGGTCGCTCTCAGGAGCTCAGTTAATTGAAGAGTGGTACCGTGATAGGTTGCCAACTGTGCAATAAATCCATCCGTGACATTTCCTTGCTACTAAATATTCTGCGGTCACCTGTTAGTGGTATTAAAACACAGTGGAAGCAACTGGGAACAACAGCTCGGCCACAAAGTGGTAGGCCACGTAAAATGACAGAGCGGGGTCAGTGCATGCTGAAGCGCAGTGTGCCGAAGTCGCCAACTGTCTGTCAATAGCTACAGACCTCCAAACTTCATGTGGCCTTCAGATTGGCACAACAACAGTGCATAGAGAGCTTCATGGAATGGGTTTCCATGGCCGAGCAGCTGCATCCAAGCCTTTCATCACTAAGTGCAATGCAAAAGCGTCGGATGCAGTGGTGTAAAGCACTCCGCCACTGGACTCTAGAGAAGTGGAGATGTTTTCTCTGGCGTGACTAATCGCACTTCTCCGTCTGGCAATCCGATGGACGTGTCCTGGGTTTGGCGTTTGCCAGGAGAAAGGTACTTGCCTGAGTTTAAAGTTTGGTGAACTGAAAGTTTGGTGAACTGAAAACATGAACTGAAAACATGAAGTGCACAGCTCACTCCTATCATGCGTCCTTGCAGTCCACATTCAGTGCACGGATGACGCTCTTCCTGAGTAATAGGCTCAAAAACTGAAACCAGCACACGATGATCTTCCAAAGAAATTCAAACTTCATTCCACATGCATCTATACAAAGCACGACCGTAAAGTTTGGTGGAGGGGGATTATGGTGTGGGGTTGTTTTTTAGGGGTTGGGCTTGGCCCCTTAGTTCCAGTGAAGGGAACTCTTAGTCCAAAATGTCTTGGTATGCTGATGTCTTATTTCATGCTCCCAACTTTGTGGGAACAGTTTGGGGATGGCCCCTTCCTGTTCCAACATGACTGCGCACCAGTACACAAAGCAAGGTCCATAAAGACATGGATGAGCGAGTTTGGGGTGGAGGAACATGACTGGCCTGCACAGAGTCCTGACCTCAACCTGATAGAACACCTTTGGGATGAAGTAGAACGAAGACTGCAAGCCCGGCTTTCTCGTCCAACATCAGTACCGGGCCTCACAAATGTGCTTCTGGAAGAATGGTAAAACATTCCCATAGACACACTCCTAAACCTTGTGGACACCTTACCAGAAGAGTTGAAGCTGTTATAACTGCAAAGGGTGGGCCAACTCAATATTGAACCCTATGGACTAAGACTGGGATGCCATTAAAGTCATGTGTGTGTAAAGGCAGGCGTCCCAATACTTTTGCCAATATAGTGTATATAAAAAAAAAAAAACCTGCCCAGAACGACATGTCCCTGGCATCGGGCGATAGAAATTCCACCCACCTGGCCACAACCATCATGTTAGTTGCTAGTGTGCTTAGGAGAGTGGAAGAAATTCTACCATTAACAGCCGCTGGTAGACTCATGGTAGATATATGAAATCCTGGAAATCTCTCCAGTTAGTGAAGTGCGGGGTTTTTTTTAATGGTTTTATACTAGCATTCCCTCTGCAACTGACCTGTCTGTGTTCCAATTACCACTAGACTCTATTTAGGTTAGTATATTCTGGGGATTCTTTGCTGAACATTGGGACCAGAGCTGTAGCAGTTTTTTTGACCCAATCTCTGAAGACTATGAATGTTATGTGATATATCAGTTTTATTCCCTATTGAGGAATTTCTTCTTTTTTTTTCTTTTTTATTAGAAGCTCTTCCTATAGAAACTGCTATATCTACTGAGCAGTATGTGGGGTCATATTTTCTCCTTTTACCTGTACCTCATCTAGGTTTACATGCTGAGTTATTGTGTTTTGACTCCCTTTTTACTAGGGCAAGTTAAACTGTGTCCCTTTTTGTTTCTTGATCTGGGATAACCTCCTTTTTATAGCTCAGAGTTTTGTAAACTTTCTATTGTACTCTGCCTAGCAGCCAGGCATTGTTGTGTACGACAGCCATTTGTGTTCCCACGTGCTGACCTAGACTTGATGACTCGCTGTGAAATTCCAGTGAGCTCACACACCATCCCCTTCATTTTGTTGTCTGTTTTTCACTACTGTTGCTTTGCTGAGTTTCCTCATACCCAGGGCTCTTTATTTGACTCCAGAAATTCTGCATGGAATTCACCATATCTGTCTTCACCTCTCTTCCTGCAGCAGTGTCTGGACCAACTTTTGACCTTCAGCATTTTCTAAGCCACGGTTCTGTCCGGCTTTGTTTCATGAACCTTTGTACAGGAAGTCATCATTTAGCTCTCTGTTTGTTCCTCTGTGACTTGGTGGGATCTAAACCTGGTTCTTACTGCACTTCAGACATCACCATATGAACCTATTAGAGACTTTCTCTCTCCACTCTCAGAAGGTGGTGGTTCTTGTAGTGATCACGTCTACAAGGCATTTGTCCTAACTGGCGGCCATCTCCTGCATAGGGACCAAGTAGTGTCAGGCCCAGGACTGACTTTTTTTTTTGTCTTTTAACCTTAACCAGAACATTGTTCACCCATCCCTCTCCTGTCTAGCTTCACTTTACCAAAATAAATGTTCCCTATATTGTCTGGATATAGTTCGGACTGTTAGAGTGTATCTCCCAGCCTCTGTTGCTTCTGGAAGCCTGATTCTGGATGAACTCCGTTAGGGTGCACCAACTTCTGTGTTCAGCCTCTCTGTGACTCAAGCTGACCATCATTCAATATTCCTAGTCTTAAAGATTGGGTTTCATCTTTACCTGTCAAGGAGCGCTATGCTACATTAGTGAGTGCTTCTTGCTTTTCAGCATTATGCAACTTTTCCCCGTTTTTATAAGGCTACCACCTGGTCTTCTATTTTTCTTTGTTTTACCAGGTGGATATTCATGCCTCATCCATCTGATGCCAGCTTCAGGCATTGGGTCCTTCAGCGGTTCGTTGAAGCCAGTCCTGAGTTTGCTGTTGCCTTTTTTATTGGATCGGTTTGTTTTTTTCTATGTTTCCAGCCCAGTGTTTGAACTGCTTTTGGACGTCTAAGAATTCCTTTATCTCGCAATAGACAATTAAACTGATATTTAAAGTTTAAAGGTTTTTAAGCTATTTCAAATGCTGCTGAAATCACTTATAATGGATGCTGCTCTTTAATGTTAAGTTTTGGGGGTTTTTTCCTGCAGAAGCAGCTGGTTCCCTGAGCATTGGTCCTGACTTCCTGTTTTAGAGTGACTCCTTTCTCAAGCAGAGTTCTATGCAGTCACCCTTTTGTGTGCTAGTAAGCTCTGCGTGTCTCCACACAGACAACACAGCAAATCAAGCTACTTCTCTCTCTCTGGCCCCTCTCCTCCCTTCTCCAAGCTAGTAGATGCACAATTGCTGGAGCCTGCTCTGTTCCTTGTGATCTTGTAATAGACAGGAAGCTGAGAGACTTGAAAGCAGCTGTTCAGAAACATAACTATAAGTATTTGGGCAAAAAAGCAATGCTTTGCTGAGCAATGTATATTTTTGTTCTGGATCCACTATTGGGGGGGGGAAAAAAATGTGAGTTTAATACTACTTTAAGAAAGTAGGATTTTAGTACATCCCTTTCTTGGAGTCTATTGAAGGACACAGGTCTCCCCCATCTGTTAATTTTTGCTGTCGGTACAAAACTGAGCCAAGATACTTGTGGGCAGAGTTATCCCGCTGACCAATTGGTTTCTTTTTTGCCAGTGTCCATTGCTCCTGTAGACAGGGCAGTATCATCTGACAGTCTAACGATTCCTGTGTCCTTCAATGAACTCAAAGAAAAGGATTTTAGGGAAGCAGAAAAATCCAACTTTTTATGACTTTACAATTGTTTTAATAGCTTGGTAATGCCTATAAATGCTTCATGGCCTACAGTTGTTGGGGTTTTTCTTTTTGTTTTTTTATTAAAATGCACTTTTGATGTCCACTACTTTGACTAAAGGTACCCTGTCACCAGTCCATTTTAACTTTAAGAGTATATATGCATTTTAATGTATTTTATACATGTTGCTTACCTGTGAAAGCCTTCCTTGTGTAGACATCCAATAGCCCTGAGACTGCTGCTTGGAGCCACCACCTTGGATGTGATGTCAGCAGCCCCAACAGAATCAGAGCTGTCACTCGAGTTAGGCTCCATACCAGGGATAGGCAGACTGTCCGTCCAACTGTGGTGAAAGTACAAATTCCATCATGTATCTGCCTCTGGACTCATGCTTGTGGCTGTTAAGAGTTTTGCAATGCCTAATGGGATCTGTAGTTGCAACATAGCTGGACGCCTGGAGTTTGCCCTCTCCTGCTCTATAGCATTCCTCTTTGTTGGGAGGTTATATAGCGAGGTGGAAGGAGGAGTGGAGGAGCTGGGCCAGCACTGATATTAATTACAGTCCCAGAAGAGGGTTGTGCTAGGCCTCTTACTAGTCAAAGGCACTTTGCAAGTAAATAATAATTTTATAGACAGAATAAAAACGCTGCAAGTAAGCATGTAAAAACGTAATATTTCTCTCCCCTTGTCTGTTCACAAAAAGCCTTGTATTTTTTCACAGAATGCAAGGTTTTCTGTGCATGGTCAAGGGAAAAGGAGGGACAGGTAAATGACGAGGGGACGGGCAAAGGACAGGATCACTTGTCCATTCACAGAACTAGGAGACAATGCTTGGACTGGTTGTATCGCCTATAAAATTAAGCAGTGTGTTTTTTTGTTTTGTTTTTACATACACACATAAACATCAATTTCGTTAACAGTTTGTGGAAAGCTTAATAATACGTTTTAATAATTGTACTTTGTTGCTTACAGCTGTTTCATCTCTTAGACTGTGAAGAGATACACTCTAACTTATTTCTGGTTACTGCTCCACAGTCTCACGACGGAGGGAAAGCGAGAAATCTGTAGAGAATGAAGTGTTTGGAAAAGATGAGGAGCCTCCTAACTTGAAGTCCCCTAAATCTGATTCCCAGATCCCTATAAAGGTTATGCCTGCTCCACCTCCCAAGGAGAATGCATGGGTGAAGCGTAGTACAGCACCTGCCCCAACACGCTCTCTCAGTTCAGAGTCCTCTCAGAGGTAAGAGTCACTAAGTCACAGCGCTCTGATTTATTTTACTTGGTTCCTGAAACCTTCAACTGTGTTGTTCTAATACATAAGTTCAATGAATTGCCATTTCAGTCCCTTATAGGAGAACTATGGGGTTAGGACTTTTCTCCATAGTTCTCCTAAGGGTAACGGGAGGACACAAACTAGCGTCCTCCCGTCACCCTAGGCTCAGTATACCGCGAGCTACAGCTCGCAGGATACTGAGACGCCGGAATGGGTCGTCATAATGCTGTCTCGATCCTCCCAGCTGCGTGAGTGACAGCTGGATCTGCCTATCTAGAGGCAGAGCCAGCTGTACCCGCCCTCTCCCCTGACCGTTCCGCCAGTCGGCGTTGGAGGATCGGACAGGGGGGGGGGATTCCTGCAGGGAGCCGTGAGTGAAGGTCACGGCTCTCTGCAGGGATAGATCGAGCGACGGTATGCGTTTGCTCACTTCCCGATCTACTAAGCTGACCTGCGACAGTTTCATTGTCACAGGTCGGCTCAGATTATGAGGCTGATTGAAAATCACTCGCCTCATAATTCTCCTTTAAAAACGTACTTGACGCTTGAACAGTAGATGACTAAAGAGAAAAGGAACACTCTGCTTTTCTATAGACAGTACAATGTGAGCACACAACTGGCAAAGGGAAATAAGTCCTGATCAGGGCATGACTTTTGAAGATCCCTTGTATCTCAGCAACCTTGGTAGTTAATAACATTCTAGTGTATAATTTTGAGCAATGTGTGGCAGGATTTGTTTCTATGCAGAATGTATGTGAAGTATGAAATGCCCCAACTGCCATGTCATTTAATGCTTTGAATAACTACCATATTATAACTACCATATTTTTGTTCACTTCTAGTGGAGGAGAAAGACATGATTCAGAAAGGCGGCAGTCTGGGAATGGGCAAAGAGGTAAGTCCTCTTCCCAAATTCACCTGTCTATTCAAATGTTTTATTTCCCCCAGAGCTTATTTATTCTTTTTTAAAGCAGATGAGAACAAATTAGATGGTGTGGACCATGGAACGAATTCTAGTGGACGTGGCATGGGAGATCGTAACAACGTGTCTGATGGGTAAGCTATAAAATGAAAGCCAAGTAAACATCCTGGGGTTGTTTGTTGGGCATGGTAGCAAACACACCTGAGGATAATATAGCAGACTTGTTAGAGATGAGGGCAGCGATTTGTGATGAATTGATTTTCTTCCATTTACAGGAAAGATATTGAGGCGGATTTGGGGATCGAGTCGGAGCCAAGGAGGATGGACGAGCAGGGAGCTGTAAGTTCTACTTTGCATTTGGTTTATTCACTGCCTTCTGGGCTGCAGCTTCTTCATAACGGATGTAAAAGAGTTCACATATATCTAATACAATACCCGAGACTGGTTATGGGTATTGTTTGGTTAAGACACTTCAGGGGAAATACGATTTCTTGATTGTACATCACAGTACATGGAGTTTTTTCTGGAACCAGTGGGTTATGCAGCTATCTTCAGGTGACCGGGCTCTGGAAAATCAAAGCTGTAAGGACAGCCCTTATTAAACCCCTCCCAGTTTTTGCTAGTGTTTTTAGGTGATGGGCCACTTCTCTAAGCACATCCTATTCTACTTCAAGACTTAAGTTTCTCTAAGCTGCTCACAGCCACTGTGTTGCCTCTCGACAGCTATCCAGATCGATTTTCTCTGCGGTTGAGCATTGGCGGGGACTGTACCTTGACCCCGCTAGGACATTGGAGCCAGCGTGGGGCACTCACTTTGGGACATAGTGCAGCTTATGGAGTTGACAGATTTAGGGTCGTAGTCCATCTCGGTGGGACCCTGTCCCGTAAGTAGAACCTATAACCTCTAATGTGCTATTATGTAGGGGGCTTGTTGGCCCCTTATATGATAGCATTAAAGGTAAATGTAAAAAAAAATAACAATTCTTAGTTAAATAAAACCAAAAAACACTCCCAAAATTTTGTTTAAATCCCTCACGTACATGCACTTATGAAAGTAGACAAGTGTCAAGTGCACATTCATATGAAAACAATGATTGCGCGACACACAATAGTTTTTTTTAACAGAAATATCTTTTTACACAATTGTGCATTTTAACGTGTGCAAAAATTGCTCTTGCAGCAAAAGGGTTGAAGCCTTATTTGTCCTTGCAAGCCCTGCTATGCAATCTAATGTTGCCTCTGTGGCCATGTGTCAGACCTTATTTGTATGGTGTACATCTATGGTTGGGAACCTTGGATCTATCTTGACAGATGCTCCTGTTCTTAAATGCCTAGGAATGTTTTCCTTGTGCCCTACGATATTGCGTTGATGGCCTTGCAGATACCCTCTGAGAAATCTCCAGGGTAAGTCTCTTGTCTCTGCAAAAAAAGAGCCTGGTCCTCCAAGCCTGCAAAATTCAGGAACAAGCTCCTCTTCATAATGACTAGGGCATGTTCCTGAATAGTTCCTAGATTTTTAAGAGGTTCTACTTTCTGCAAAATGAGGTTGGCTGGGAGTGGGAGCGGTTATGCGAGTTTCCAGAATGAATTCCCTGTGTCCTGTGATGTACTAGAAGTAACAAATTGTAAGATAAAAATCCTGGTCTATGTATTTTAAAATGTACACCATTGGATAAACCCCATACAGAGACATGTCAGCACCTCAACCAAGTTTTTTGTGGTCTGTGCCCTCATTGTAGACATTTCTTCACACTTAATTTTCCAGAGAAACCATTACCAGGACAAGGACCAATGACCTATCTTGGGAACACAGCAATAAGTGTGTGTGTGTATATAATTGATTACTATTATTTAGGGCAGGTTAGAGCCTATGTGTTTATTACTATCTTTGTAATGCATAGTAGTGGAGAGAATTCTTTTGTATGTTTTGGTGCAGGACATAAGGTTGGTAAAACAAAGTTCTGGTTAAGGTGGAAGGCAGAGACCACTTTAAAAAGTAACAAGGCCTTGGCTCTTAGTACTACCTTATCCTTTACAAGTCAAGGCAGCAAACGTATAAAACATGTCTGGCCAAAGTGATGCAGATGAGGAAGGCAACTTTGATTGAGTCGGGTCAGATGGTGTGAGTTTCAAGGGCGGCTTCAACACCGACAGAACCTGGAGTCACCAGAGTGGGGGAACAATGTGAGCGACCTCCTGCACAAAGGCCTTCACTGAGAAGTGAGAGGCAAGCAGTCTCTGGAAAAGATTTTCCGAAGCGGAAGTTGGACCCTTGATGGTACTCAAGGCTAAATGCTGGTCTAGTTCAGACTGGAGGAAAGATGGCATGCGTCACAATGAGTATTTCCTGGGATGAAACTTGTTTCCCATCAGGTTAGTTGGAAGACCTTGCAGGAGTTTGTTTTGCTTGGCTTTCAGGAGCGTAGGAATCTCGCTTTTGAAAGACCTCTTTCCTTCAGGACCTGGGCTACAACAGCTGGGCACATAAAAGCATTAATTTGTGTTTTTATATGTGTTCCTTGGAAATCAGTCAACTTGTTCTAATGCAGCTAGATTAAATACCTGAATTAATCTGGGCATGAGCAGTACTAGGAGCCAATCAGTAGTGCTGCAGTAAACGTGCAGACAAGGACCATGAGCACAAAAGGTGTGAGATGACCCCATTAGTCTGCTGCTCTCTTTATTCAGTCACAGGCTGACCGGGAGAGTATGTGATCATGTGTAACTGCTGTACCAGCCTGGCTGTGTTGTCTGAGAGGGCTATGTAAATTTCAGATTGTTTGACAGAAAACAAAATAATTCTTATGTATGTGTTTCAGTAGTGTATTTAGACAATTGCCTGTAGTTCAACTTTAAATATTTGTCATGGTTTCCTAATCAAGGTGTCTCTCCATATACAAGAGGCCAAATACTAGACCGCAATAAGCGCAGCTGTAACCATTCACTACGTAAGACCATTCCTTATAACTGCATTGCATAGCCACTCCTGCATCCCTTTTTTGATCATCCAAATTACTCAGTTTTGTTACTTTATAAAGATGTGCAAAGGAGAAGTCCACAGAAAAAGTTAAAAACCCCTTTTTACATTTCTATTTTCCATTTTGTATTTTAGTTTTTTGTAAGCTGCAAGCTGTTGATCTTTTTTTATTTTCTTTAATATGCACAGAAATTCACTCACGCAAGTAAATACGCAGCATTGTCCATGGATGGAGAAGAGGAGGCTGAAGAATACGCAGACTAACTTGGAGAAGAATACCTGTGTCCATTTGGATTCCTTCCTCCCTGTCCTTTTAATCTCCCGTATTCCATAACTCATTGGCATAAGCCAGAGCAAGAAAAGCAACACCCCTTCTGGCTCTGTCCCCTCTAAATATAAAAGCAGTCCAACTTTGACACCTCTGACAATTATCTTCAGTTAGAAACACAATGAGCTGTTTGTTCTCTTGCATTGTGCTGCAGCTTTTT